GGGAGGCTCACAGCTCAAGGCCAGTCAGGGCAAATAGCTCGAGAGATCCCATCTTCAAAATAAGCAGAACAAAATGGAATGGAGGTGTGGCTCAAGCAGTAGAGCACCTGCTTTTTGAGCACTAAGCCTAGCCTTTAAACCCCAGTCCCATCCCCCCCCCAAAATGTTTAAAAGGATGGGCAGGGAAAGCCCTACTGAGAAAGTAACATTTGAGCACAAACTTGAAGGAGGTGTGTGAGTGAACACCCAGTCATGGGAAGAACTGAATCCTACGCAGAGGGACCAAAATAACAAAGGCTCTGTGGTGAGAGCATGGCTGGGGTAGATGTTAGACTGTGAGGTCAGGGTAACTGGGACAGAAAAATGCCAGGGAGAATGCTAGGAAATAAAATTAGAAGGATGATAAGGCCCAGATTCCATAGGGCCTTGCTAGGGCCATCGTAAGGATGCAGCTGGGAAGTTATCAGAGGGCTTTGAGTGCTGAGTGACATGATCTAACTTAGATTTTAAAAGACTCAATTTGGTCCTGTACTGACAATAAATGGTAGGGGCACAAGGACAGAATTAGGATCTTAGTTAAGAGGCTATTGCAATGATCCAAGTGAGAAATTGATAGTTTAGATTAGGGTGGTGTCACTGTAATAAGTGTCTGAGAAAGATCAACCTAGAAGAAGAAAACCTTCTTTTGGCTCATCGTGTCAGAGCATGGTTGGCTGCTTCCATTGCCATTGGTCTCAAGTGAAGCTGAACGTCATGGTAGGGAGTGAATACACAGTACAGCGAAGTTACTCACCTCGTGGTGGACAGGAAGCAGAGAGAGGGACACATAGGGATGGACCAGGGCAAGACACTTTTCAAAGACTTGTTACCAGTAACCCACCTTCTCCAACCAGAGACCACCTCCCAATAGTCTATTCAAGTTTTGAATCTATCAATGGATTAGTCCACTGAAGACAGAGTCCTCATGACCCAATAATTTCTCCAAAGTCCTACTTGAACACTTCTTGTATCAGGGTCCAAGTCTTCAATACACAATGAGCCCCTTATTGGGACACTTCATATCCAAACCATGGCAGGTGATAGTGGAGATGAGTAGTGGAACCTAAGGCAAGCATTCAGTTCCTTGAGGTTGTAAGACTGGTAACTCCACTTCCTTATTGGCTGTCAGCTGAGGGTTCATCTCAGCTGCTATAGGCTACTCACTGTTCTTGGCTCAAGAACCATTTTCAAAGTTGGCAACACTTGCCTTCCAACTGCACTTTTAAGAACTCATTTGATTGCATTAGCCTTGATTGGATAATCTAGAATAATCTTCCCATCTCAAGGTCCTCAATGTTAGTTAAAGCTGCAAAGTCCCTTTTGCCATGTAAGGTGAGGTAATTATAGGTTACAGGGATTCGAATATGGATATATTTGGGGGCTATTATTTAGTTCATCACACAGTACCTTCATCTCCTCTGATACCTCCTGGAAAAAATAGCAGTGACAGAATAGGGAGCCAGAAGTGCTCCATGGGTGTCTTTATCAGCAGATGCAGTAGCAAATCTGAAGTCTGTGTCCACTTTGAGAGATGATGGATTTCAATTCAGTTAACTCAGAATCTAGTGAACTTTTTGAAGTTATAAAAGTAAATGTTTAAATTGGCATTTTCTCAGCATATATCAGCTATATGCTAGCCAGTGAAGAAAATATGAATTTCAGATGATAGCCCTTGTACAAATTCCATTTGTCAGACTGAGAAAAGGCATGATAATTGTATGGGACATACCTTAAGGGAAAAGAGAACAGGGTTAGGCAGAAGTGAGCCACTGTCACAGATTAAGAGGCTGTTACAGCTGTTCAAGGACCTGAGGTATCATTTAACCATTTTGTAGGCCTTTTGGGAAGTTGTTTGGAGCAGGTTCTACTCTTATGTCTGGCACACACTGTTTTCTCCCCAGCCTCTAAAGCATTGCTTCCTCTTAGTAGGTGCTCAAGAAATATTTGTTGATTGATGGACTAGTTTATTGATAGAAACTCAGGTCAGAAATGTGGATTAATATGACCAATGTCACACAGCAGGGCCCAGAAACTAGTTTTGATTCTTCATCCTTTAGTGTACCTTATTTAGGAGACAGCTTCTAGAAAATGAACTCCTACAACAAATGAACTGATTCCTCTCTACCTTGCACATGGTACTTCCTATGTGAAATTACTATTAACCAAACCTATCAATTAAATGTCTGAAATGTGTCAAAAGACATGAATTCTGCTCCCAGTTCCCCTGTTCACTTCCTTGATCACTGAAGTAAATTACTAACCCTGTTCAAACTCAGTTTCTACATCTGTCATAAAAAGGGTAAGGGCTCTTTTAGCTTTCAGGTCCTGTAATTTTAGCTTCACCTAGGGACCATCTACCTGAACATCCTATATCAGTGTTCAAGAAGTGTGACTCTACCTCATCACTATCAGAACGACCTCAGGAAGGAGGTCCTTTAAATATGCCGCCTTTCAGTTTTTAAAAGAATGGATTAGATGTATAGTTCTTGATTTGGAGGCATGTCCATTAGGCCATGCTTCCCACCCCTTTGTCCTCTATCATCATGACACACATAAAAAGTGATACTCCATGCTGGAGTAAGAAACCTTCACATCTTGCTGAGAAACTCTGCCACAGTATCACTGAGAAAAACAAGATGCAGAAAAATGTCCATTCTCTCCATTTTTCACAATGTCAAGATTCAGCGTGAGAATATGTATTTCTGTGTGGTTATGTGAGAGGTATAAATATGTGAATATAGATATATAATATTTAAGAATACTAAAAGGAGCATACAAAGTTGTTAATTTAACCAGTATTTATGCTATGAATCCATTTTATGCATATTATTTATGTAAAATAATGTAATTCTATGAAGACATTTTAAAAATAAGTGCAGATACATGGTCTCTACCTCAGATCCTTTGAGGTCTCAGGGAAAGGATGTATGGAGAGATGGGTGTCTGTTTTTTTTTTTAAACCATATCTCAATTAGGGACTTCTAGCCTGAGTGTTGTACCACTTGAGCCAGGTCTTCAGCCCATGGGTGTCTGCACCTTTAACATGTACACCAAGTGATTCCGTAACACTGGAGTCTTATGCCTTCGTATTAAGCGCTAACGTCTTTAGCTGTAAGCAGAGCGTGGTTGGAAATTTCCATCCTGCAATGCAGGCTCAGCTGATTCTTATTGTCTTGGAACATAGTAGCTGCATAATGAATAGATACTGATTGAGTCATCTGGAGGGCAGGTGGGAGGAATGAGGGCCAAAGTAGTGAGAATCACTTCCATAAGGTCAAACTCAGGCGAGATGAGGCACTGCACTGAACAATGGACTGGTTCCCCTTGCCATTTTCAGACTTTCAACCAATTAGGCTATAAACACATGCAAGGCACGTTTGTATCTTATCTCATTTTATTCTTAAATAACCTTTTACAAATTCAGAGGGGTGAAGTGAGTAGCACAAAGTAATTATTAGAATTGAGATTCAAATGCAACACTTTTTTTGGCAAGGGTCTTGGGCTTGCTAGGCAGGTGCTCTACCACTTGAGCCACACCCCCAAACCCTCTAGCCCCACCTCAACAGTTTTGAGACCTGTTATGAACCAGATACAAGATTGCTGTCTTAGATATGAAGGTGAGCACAATAGGTTGCTTGTTTTTTCAAATCTGGAATCTTACTGCTCTTACCACGTTCATTCTCATCTGTTGCCACTTACTAGGTAGTTGACGCTCAGAAGCATTATTTTGTCATCACAAACTGGATCCCATCAAAGGCAGATTACAGTAAATGTGTTTGCTTGTTTTTCTCCATCATCTCTAGCTTGTGTTTTCATATTGGGGAGAATGTATCATTTCCTAGGTGACTTTGCATAGTGCAAGCCCTTCAAAATACTAAGGATATCCAATTCTTAAACACTCCCCAAGTCAAAAAGCTCTTTGTAGCTTCATATAAGCGCTTTACTGTTAGGATGGAAACAAGACAATACAGGGGAAAGTCATGCCCTTTCAAGTTCGGGGGTGGTGCAACGAATGACACTACTGTCTGGACACATACACATTTTTCAAGAATCATTTCTGGTGCTAGAAAGGAAATAGGAAAAACCAAGAGGTGCATACTCTGCACCCAAACACCTAAAAGCAAACAAAAAACGGGCATTTTTTCTTCCACTACCATTAACTTGAGGGCTCCTGCCACCTTCTCCTTTCTTTCTCCCTGCCCCTCCAACCCCGCATCATGTCGGGGTGGAAAGGAAGGATAAAGGCAGAGCCCAGTATTGAACCTCTTCTCCCAATCATTCTTGGAGTGAGTTCGGATCGGCAGCGCTAACCCATTCTTTGTGATTTAGCAGAGCCAGAGAAACCGGGAAACGGAAGGTTGGGATTCCCAGGTGGTGTCTGGAGTGCGCAAAATTCATTAAATAGGGCCGGGCCCCGGGGCGTTATCTTCGGCGACAATGGTTGACATTTTTTCCTTCTCCCCCCCCAACTTCACCGCCTCCGCAGCCGCGTGCCGGAAGCATGGATCCAAAGCCACTCCTCCCAGGTGTACACCCGCGTCCCAACCTGCCAAGTGGGATGGGGTGAGTCTTTCCACAATATACCATCTCATCCTCAAGTCACTTGCTCAGCGGGTCCCAGGTTCGCCGGTTTTAACCCCACATCCCTATAATCGAGTCCAGGCAGACCCAACAACTCCTCGAATGCGCGCCCCAAATGCAGGACGCATCACCTTCGCGCGCCCTGAATTCCTGACTCCCTCCGCCTCTGGTCCTTATTCGGCCGTAGTCAAAGCCTGGAGCGTTGGATCCAGGCCCAATGGAACGGGAAGCCGAACGAGAGCGGCGCCGCGGGCCGGAAGCCGGCGCACCGGGCATGCTCAGTGGCAGGGCCGGCTGGGTGGCCCCGCGAGCTGTACCCGGATCTGCTTGGCGGCAGCGGCGGCGGCGGCGACGTGAGCGCGCAGGGGGGCGGCGGCCTCGCCTGGTCTCTCTCTCTCTGCGCCTGGGTCGGGTGGCTGACGCCGAGCGCGAGGGAGATGTCGGATTTTGACAGTAACCCCTTTGCGGATCCGGATCTCAACAACCCTTTCAAGGTGAGCGTGGGATCCGCGTCTCTCGCCATCGCGACGCGTCGTTGTTTGTGCCAACAGACGAGTTCCTGCGCGCTCTCTGCGCCCGCCCATCGGTTCCCTGTGCAGCCCAGAGAGGGACGCGGGGCTGCCGCCCCTCGTTTTTGGGGGTCGCGTCACTAGGTTGAGGTTTGGGTTGGAGCCGCCACAGCTCGGCGTTGGGCCGCCCCGCCCCACGTCACCTGCTGAGGAGGGTCGTGCCCTCACTGAGACTGGACTGGCGCGCTAGCAGGGGTCCCGGCCTTACTCTCGGAAGCGGGGAGCCCCACTGGAGCCAGGACAGGTGGAGTTGTCACTTGCCCGACAGGTGTGGCTGGCTAGCCGGGGTGGGGGCCCCCCCGAGACGGCCGAGGGGGGCCCGCCCTGGGGTGGGGTTGTCATGGGGACCCGAGGAGGCGGCAGTGAAGTGCTGCGTGGGGTGATGGCAGAGTTGTGGAGGAGAGAGGTGAGGGCACCAAGACGCTACAATTAAGAAGAAAAAGATAGTGTTATTATTTAAACTCGTGTTGCGCCCAGATGCCACCAGCGGCGTTGCCAGAGCCCCCCCGCCACATTAGGCGGAGGTTAAGGAATTAACATCCAAGCAGAAGTCAAAATTAAATAAACATATCTGGAAGACAATAGTGTGCACGTGGACGACATCTTCCCACCTAGCTGCTCCCATCGAGGTAAACGGTTGGATATTTTCCAAGCGTTTAGTGCGTCACTGTCACTGCTGCTCTGGGGCTATTTGAGGATACTATTTCCCACGAGAGCCGCTTTCCTTAGTGGAGTCACTTTATCATCCCCAGCTTCGGAAGTGCTTGGCACAGAAACCCGCAAAGGAAGGCACCGTCCGCTCTTAAATGAGTGCAACGTCCAAACTCTCTTTGAAAGTGCCCGGGGTTTCTTAATGAGCCTACGGTTTAGCAAGTGCAATTTGTTTCCAACTGTTAGTTGTTTCTTCCTCTCCCCTGGCCATGTGTAGTAGTATTTTTAATGTGTAGTAAGTCACGTAAGTGAAATAGTAACTCTAATTTGTGGTCACACAAGTGTTACTTTGTTTACATTTGGTTTTAGCGCTCATTGGGAATCCTGCAACAGGAAAACATATCTAACGGGTAGCCTGACAATTTAGTGGAAGATTATTTTAATGAAATGACAACTTATTTTAGTAATTGACAACTTGACTCACGTTGGAGAAATAGACTCAATCATGATTCCATTTCAAGTAATTTTCAGGATTCCATTCCCCACTCCCCCCAGATTATGTGGTTCTTTTTTTTTTTTTTTGGTCTTGAGGTTTGAACTCAGGGCTTCATGCTGCCAGGCTGGTGTTGTATCGCTTGAGCCGTGCCTCCATCCTCCCCATTTGGTTGCATTTTTAAGGAGAACTCGCCTCCCCACCCCAGTTCTGACTCACATGTTGTGGAAAATTGAATTATTATTAAATCACAGAACCCTATAGAGACATTTGATAATTTGCCAAATGAGTGTTACTTAAAAATATTTGAAAATAGAACATTAAGAACCTGTTAGTTCCTCCTAAATCCAATTCTTCATTAATGGTGTTTGTTTAGCATCTTTCCAGATGGCTGTTGATTTTCTATTTGGTCATCCATTTCATGGCCCATTTCATAGTAAGTTCTCTTGTTAAGGCAAGATATTGTCATCTTCTTAGCCCAGACTGCCCTTTTGTGACATCTAATGTTGCCTTGACACTTCCCTCTTCTGCCATGTGTAAGATTGCTGAGGTATCATAATTCCAAATGCAAAAGTGGTTTTAAGTATTCACTGTGACATATTATAAAGCTTTTTTAATTTTCCATAAGTGAATACACGCAAGACATTGATTACCCAAGTCTGTAAAATGCTTTCAGGGATGGATAATTTAGGTTTAAGGAAGGTTTGATGGCACACATGTTCCTCGTGATCATTCAGTATTTTTGTGACTGCTGCAGCACTGTCACTGGACCTGATCCTTTATCTTCCCGCTTGTGTACAACTGCCCTACCACTTCTCAAAGGAGTGTACATCTGGATGTTGTTCTTTTCTTCTTTTTGCTATGCTTCCTTCTGTGTAAAAGTGGTTTTTGATATTGTCTACTTAAATCTAAAAAGTTTCTAAACTCATTTTATATTACTTTCTGGTCATTTTTGTTTTCAAATTTTGCTTGATAATTTTACATTTTCTATCATCCAAACTTGGTGATTAACTCCTGTTTGATGATAATCATTGTATTTGTTCTTTAACATTTCTTTCACTGTTAGGAACACTTTTGCAAATGTGTTCATTTAACCATGTCATGAAAATCATTTCTGAGTATGGTCACATGCACAGTGGCTTACTTGATTTTATTGGCTATATTGTAACATTATTTTTTGGATCTAGTTCATTTAATTGTTTTTGAGTACCTGCTTTATTTCAGTGGTTGTGCTAGGTTTAGTGAATGGCTTTATGAAATTTGAATTTTATTATACATCAAGAAACTTGAAGTGACTGAAAATCTGTAGTAATAAAAAAAGTATTTTGTTATTTGGAAATTTGTAAAAATCCACTCTTGAGTTACTAAAATGTAGTTTTAAAGAGGAAAAATATTTTTGACATAGTCAACATGTATTTATTGAAGAATTGCTGTATGTGTGTATCTTTTTTCAGGATTTTTTTTTTTTCCTCCAGTACTAGGGTTTGAACTCAGGGCCTCAAGCTTGTTAGGCAGGCATTCTACCACTTGAGCCACTCCATCAGCCCCCACTCAGTTTTCATTTACCAACAGATATTGAAGAACTATTTCTATTGTTATGGATATTAGTCTAATAAGGAGACAAACAGGACTGTAAAGTAAAATAGGAGAGTCTAATAACCAGCAGAGGTCAATAATGTAGGCTTCTGCAAGTTAGCAAAACAAAACCAAAAAAAAAAAAAAAAAAAAACCGATGATTAAATGCCAAAATAGTGCAGTTTGTTCATAGGAGGGAGAAATTAATTAGCAGAGTATCTTTAGACCATCTAATATGCTTTTGCATATTAATATAAGTGATTGAGTTAGAAAAGTCATGAAAATAGCATTTAAATTAACATAATTTAATTTTTTTTTTGGCAGAAATGGGATTAAACTCAGGGTCTTGTGCTTGCTACACAGGTGCTCTATTGTACCTTTTTTGGCTTAGTTTGTTTCTTAATAGGGTCTTACCTCAGACTGCAATTCTCCTATCTCTGCCTCCCTAGTAACGAATTACAGTCATATGCCACCATGGTTGGCCCTAAATTAATGTAACTTTTCAAATGTAAGGAGAATCAGAATTTCAGAGTTGGGAAGAGTAAATCCTAAAATATTTTGAGTCAAATGTCATTTTATGGATGAAAAAACAAAGCCCAGAGAGGCTAACTTGCTAATAGTTTTGCACCTATGTGCAGATTGTGTGGAGTTGATGTCAGAGCACAAGCATCCAGATAGTGCATTGCTGGTGGCACCATATGTGCTCCTTGGGTCTTATTTGGAACTTAGACTTGAGGCTCTATGGAGAAGCAGCAAGGGTAGAGCTAAGTAGTTTTGGCTCAAGAGTTTTAAAAGGCCTAGATTTGATCCTGGTTTTATCATTATTCAAGCTGCAGGGCCTTGGAAAGTTACTTTTTTAATCCTCAGTTTTCCATCCTCTAAAATGGGATGAAGTATCTACTCCTAATAGGAGCCCGTGAATATCCCTGTAGCATGTAGGAAGTGCTCCGCGTGTGGTGGCTTTAGTTAGTGTTAATAGTAATCCAAAAAGTTGTATTTAACTAGACAACCACAGTATTCTTAACTATTAATTTGGTGAGATTCATGCTCCTTTGGCTCTTTTGAAATGCTAGTATTAGCTGGTTGGCAGATCAGAGCCAAGGAGTCAGGGCTAAATATAATTAAGTGCTTTGCCCTAGGTCATTCTGCTAGGTTAGATCATGGCTGTGTGAATTCTAGAGCTTTTTCACTACACATGGACCCTTCAGTAGAATAATTTAATATTAAAATCAAACACAAGGTTTTGACCTCAAAATTTAATTGTACTCTATTTAAATAAAGACCTCCTTCCCCCACCCTTGGTTTTGGCATTCGGTCAACTCCCTTTGGAAAATATTAAGTGGAAACTTCCAGAAATGATCTATTTTATTAGTTACATTAATTTCTTACTATGCCTGATTTACAAATTAAGTATTACCAGAGGTATGTATGTTTAAAGAAAAATGTAGTATAGATAGGGTTTGATTTCTAAATTCTTGTAGAATGCCTTGGGGAGTACTGTAATCTTTTGGTTTTTGTATTTATTTTTGCAGTACTGAGGATTGAACCCAGGGTCTTGTGCATGCTAGGCAAGTACTCTACCACTGAGCTACATCCCCAGCCCCTCTAATCTTTTTAAAATGGACTATAATTTATTATTCTTACTTATGTTATATTTTAAGTTATAGTAATTTTTGTGGTATCTTAAAGAGTTTAGTTGACCTGAATGAGGTGGTGCATGCATGTAATCCCAGCATTTGGGGTGTGGAGGCAGGAGGATCATGATTTCGAGGCCAGTCTGGGCTGCATACTGAGATCCTGTCTCAAACAACAACAACAACAAAAAAAACCTCTTGTTGTTAAAAATAATCCATAATTCAAGGATTATCATTTGTCTTTTAGCCCATTTGGGCTGCTCTAGTAAAATACCTTACAATGGACAATTTATAAATAGCAGAAATTTTTTGCCCACAATTCTGGAAACTGGGAAGTCTAAGATCAAGGTGTTGGCAGATTGAGTGTTTATCTGAATCAGTGATCCTCATACCTGGTGCCTTCAATGGGAAGCATCTGTCTGAGACCTCTTTTACAAGGTCATTGATGCCATTCATGAGGGCAGAGTCCTCATGACTTAATGACTTCCCGTAGGCCTCATGCTCTTGTACCGTCACCTTGTCGATTAGGTGTCGACATGGGAATTTTGGGACACAGCCATGCAGATCATTGT